CAACAAAAAAGTCAAGTCGTTTGGCCCAATTTTAAAAAAGTTATTCCGTTTTATAGGGTGACCTAATACTTGTGGACGGTAGTGTACATTGTATGTCGTTCGACTATGTAAGTGCAAACCCGTGCAACGGATTTTCAAACTCGACTTTCTCAAAAACTAAGACTAGGATGAGAAAATTTTATTCTACATTCTTTATTTATTTTGTATATAAGGTATCGCCTACTACGTGTGTTTATAGTTATTATCAAATTATTGTTATAAAATATATTGCTATTGAACTTATCATCACGTGTTATACAACTACATGTTAAAGGGTTAAAGTGCCGCCGTAGAAATAAGATACTAATAGTACGTCACGAAATTGATTTTGAAGACGCACCCCAAATTTACGGGACGATTTTCAGAAAAGAATGTTTTATTAGGTATATAAAGATATTTTCAAATTTTTACTTAATTTATTTACTGTTGAAATAATTCGTACTGGCGATATTCACTCATCTCGTTAGTGTCGCCGTTCGAACTCCTCTAACAGCCTCGACACAGTACAAAGGTTCGTATTTTAATTTCCAATTTTCCGCACTCCAATTTAAGTCGATTTTTCTATGTAAAAAGGTGCGTCTTACGGTCCGAAAAATACGGTAATACGAAGAGAATTGCAACTGTGAATTGATAAAAATTTGTGGTATTATCGTTGTGCAAAAACAATTGCAAATTTAAGAAATTTATTCAAGCCGTCGTATTCTATGTAAAGAATAACGAAAATTTGTCCTCTTCCATTTTCCTCGTAAATCTACCATTTAGGAGGAAAAACGCGGGGAACTAATAGAACGTGGACACCCTGTATATCTTAACTGACATACGATACTAACTTTGGTGAAGAAATGTAACTGAAATGGTACAATACTTTCTGTACGAACATAATGGCTGTCCTAATACTCATAAACGCCAGTGCACGCCTTTCGTAAGTAAACGGTTGCTTTTTCAGGGTGCATACAGGGTGAGCCACTTAAAACGTACCACCTAATTGTCTTCGCTATTGTGGCAGAGAAAACTTTTGTACGCAATTTAAATGGTTTCGAAGTGTGAATAAGGTGGAAGAAAAGGTAAAAAATGAAAAAACTTTCACATTTGATTTAAAATTGTAGAGTTTGACACTAGGTTTGCGTGATTTTCACGCATTTCGAATTTCACGAGGAAAATTACAGGAGTCGTTTACATTTCTTTCCTACCACTCACGCTTGTTATAAATGTTAAAGAAACTGCGTGGTTTTCATTCGTGCGTCAGTTCGACACGTGTACGTAGAGATAGGTAATAAGAAATTTCTGTAAACCTAGTGTTAAGGTCACATTAAATGCACATCAACGCCTTCTACACATATACATATTCGTATAAAAAGAAACATGCGTGATCTGTTAAAAAAAAAGTCTATCGTATTCACCTTTCGAAGCCATTTAAATAAAGAAGATAATTAACCTGTTTCGCTTAGCCCACCCTGTACACACGTTTCCCATAACCAAAGGGATAATCGTGAGATTCGTGCCAAAATAACAGCGAGAAATTGAAAAAAGGGAGAGCAAGTGGGCATGTTTTGCATGGAAACGAAGTACAACGTGGTGAAAGAGAAAATTGGCCAACTCGGTGGCCGTTTAAACCGTGTTTCGTCTATTACAACGTTCAGGCGCGTGGAAAATGATCGGGCCCTGCTCGTAATCGTCTTGGGCCCGGGCTGAAAGTCGCCGGTATTAACTACATCCTGACACGCGGAACCCCTGCGGATCGGTTTCTCTCTAATTTTCGACGATGCACTGACGTCACCGTGTTCCCCGTGTGTTCCGGTCTGGGTGTCGGGGACCGGAAGTAACGAACTCCGGTTGGGGAGAGCGCGGGGCCTTCGAACTGAAAAATCCCCCACGGATATATCGGCGTTCTCGCGTTTAAATAAGGAGGAAGTCGCTGTTCCCTTCGAGGACCCCCTTTCTACGATCGTTGCCTTCCGAGACGAAATTCGGGGGAAAAAATATGAAAATATCGTCTGCTGTTGTTGTATGTTAAAATGTCTACGTTATTGCGTAACTTTGTCAGGTGAACGCAAGTAACGTTGAGCGAGGGACAAATGTTTTTAATCATTTTTATCGTATCTCTTCTTTTTTTTTTTATTTTTGCACGTCTGCAACTAATTCCTGAAAAAGTGCAATGTTGTTTCATTACTTTCTTTCATTTTTCGTATTGTGCTATACTTTCGATTTTATGGCAAAAATAAATGGCACACATAGTTCTATACGCCTAGGAAATAATTAGAAAAATATGAAAGTCTCGTACATTCCAATGAATTTTTATTAACTATTTATAACTATAATTTTTATTAACCCTCTATTGTAAGTGTTTTAAACTTGTAGAATTTTTTTCAGAGTTAAAATAGTCTACATCAGGTGATCCCGTAAGAAAAATATTTGAATGGAAATTCGAAGAATTTCTACAGCGACGATATAACGACCTTACCAAAAGAACGAAAAGAATTTTTGCAATGAGAAGACGCTTACGCTTTTTCTATCAAATTTAAAGGTTCCTTGGGAATATTCATCTAAATTCTAAAATTCGACGCGAACTTACAGGATGACCCTGATACTTCAGATTTGAAATGCACAAAAATGTGAAAATCATGGATTTCTAGTGTGCTACTCTTCAGTCCCACTGGGACTTAAAGGGTTAACACGTCACACGTATGTGTGACGCATCAATTCCCACGATGGAACGGTATTATCCATTACAACACATCGCACAAATTCCCCAGTTTGAGTATTCGATAAATATTAAGTACACATAGATCCCTCGTATCGATAAAAAATTCGAATATTAAAAACATGAATCAAAATAATTCGTAGGATAGAAGACGATGCTTCAACAAAACCTTGGCAACGAACACGTTAACCTAATAGCAGCATCTAGAAGGCGTCTAAAATAAAAAAAACAAAAAAAAAAAAATCTGTGAGAGCAATCAAAAACCTCGGTAATAATCGTTACGCCGGCTGGCCATCGTGGTCACGGTGTTCACCTGTCCATGCTTTTGGTCATACTCGAAGCCTGGCTGCACGTATACACGAACGCACGTGAGCTCGTGTGCCCGCATGATCTACGGTGCACCGTGTTTTTCAGCTCGGTTTCTGTAACGGTCGAATTTACCCCCATCGCTACGAAACCGTGATACACAAGAGCCGTGTCCTTCCATTTTCATATATTTGTCAAATTCTGCTACATTTCCCTTCTACTAGCGAAACCGATCGCAATTACAACGTTCCACTGTCACGTGTTACAATTGTGACGCGCACTAATCTGGTTAGAGTGTCGAAAAGGGGAATATAGAAAAGGGCGTGTTTGCAAGGAGAGAGTCCAGTGGGGGTATCGAAGACCTTGTACCAAAATGAAATTCCGACCTTGGATGACATTCACAATACGCCATACAAAAACACGAACCCCTATCGCTTTGCGTATTTCTGACGCAACGTCACCTCTACGAGTAGAAACAGTACGTATGTGTGTACTTACGTCTGTATGCCGGTGCAAGAAAATCGAATCGACGTAAAATAACGAACAACGTGGTGTGTTTCATCGCGATCAAGGTGTTTCCTGATCATTGTTGCAAAAGCGTTGCCGGCCCCTAGAGAGAAAAAGAATCGCGACGGTGAATTTTCAACGCGAAACTTGTTCCTACGTCGCCTCTCCCTCTCTTTCACCGCCTGGTCCACCTGCTCTCGAACGATCGTTCTTTTTTCTCTTTTTCGTTTTTTTGCTCTTTCGTTCGGGCGCAGAACGCCAGGCTTCCCGTGAAAACACAGACGGAGCCACGTAATTCTTGACGTTCGCACGAACTCATCCCTTCACCAGACTGCTCGGGTAATTTCGAGTAATTAGACTGTGCGCGAGCTTTCGAAGATTTTTCGCCTGTATAATTAAAGACGATCGATCGTAACTTGCCGATTTAACAACGTACGACAAGGTTTCCATGCGGACGAATCGTCGCCGATGTTATCGGTCAATACATACTGGCTGTAGATAGCGTTCCCGAAGGAACGTAATACAATGGACAAAAAGATAGTAGGTAGGAGAGTAGCCGAGAATCGTGTGACGTTGTAGACGCACGCGCGGAGAAACGCGAGGATAAAAAGGGAAGGAGAACGATGGAAAGAGGAAGCACGCGGCGCACTCGAACAGGAGAACAGTCCGCGGCGTGATCGTGATCGCTCTATACGTCGTGCTACTTAGAAACAAATAAAAGGTAGGCTTTATGGCGCGAGCCTCTTCCCTTCTCTGACCAAAATCGCTTAGCATAATCCGTTGGACGTTGGTTCGTGGGACGAACGAGTGAGAGAGAGAGAGGGGGGTGAAGGGGGGAGAGAACGATACTACGGAACGAGGAAAGTAGCGTGGCCTGTTGGACGGACAAAGCGAGACTGCGTTGGTGAAAGGGAAACGGAACGATGCCAAGTGCGCGCCATTTCTACCGCGCAGCCACGTTGGCGCACCAATCAGATTTGAATTCGAGCAGCCGGTGGAAGGGCACCGGACCTCGTGGCTGCGGCGAACGGCGGACTTGAAACAAGCCTCGTCGCCTTGAAGATTCAACCAGAACGAGTCTGGCCGTCGTACGGTGAAGACCAAGGGCTTCGCTCATCTTACAAGTCTAGTTCGGGTCTGGTGATTTTGTCGAAGAAGAGGGGGAGAATCTTCGAGAAAAAGTTGACAGAAAAGTCGGAGGAAATTGAACGAGACTTCGCGAGAATCGCTGGCGGTGGAACACTGAACGCAGGGAAACGAGGAAAACGGGCCAGAGCGCATCGTTCGATACGGCTGTGTTGGAATCATTGGAAATTCGTCGCGGAGCGGACCGCTCTCGTTCAGAATCGTCGGAAAAGTGGTGAAGCCGCATACGTATCATCGAGTGAGAGTTTCCGTATTATTCGTTCGCTCCGGATTTGTCGTCGAAACAGAAGAAGTTTTCGAGATGCTGGCAGCTTCGATCTGTCGCGAAGTTCACTTCACAGTGTTGTCCAGCACGACGATGGCTTCACGCGTACCACGTTGCCTGTTCGGCAAACCGAACTCGAGGGAAACCGTGGAGATGCTCCAAGAGGCGTTGGACGCCGAACGGAGTAAATTCGCGAAGCGATGGGGCGTCGATCCCCGTTCAGAGGACAAAGAGAATAATTATCAGAGGAAGCATCACGACAAGTACGAGCAGTCGCCAAGGAAACGAAGCAATCCGTACTCGAAACAGACGAGTATTCACGGTGAGTACACAGATATTTTCTCGATTGATAATCGTCGCCCGATTATATTAGAACGCCATGGTCGAGGCTACGCGCGACTCGGAATATACCACTACACGGGGCTAGATTTCTCCGCGGTGAAAAGATAATGGAGCAAACGACTCTTCTCGGTTTGTACGCGGCGGTGCATCAAGCGTGTGACTCAGCGCTACTTGGAAAGCTCGCGGTTATGGAGTTTCATAAGCTTCCCATAAATGGTAACGAGCTCTAAGTAGTCTGCTCCAGTTTGATCGTATAAATTCCTTCGTTCTTGTCTCGCTCCGTCTCGACGTAAAATGGCGGGAAACTCATTTTGGAGGTTACTGTTAATTAACGTCGTTCCACTTGCATAGTGAACTCCAAAATGATTAAACGTTTACACATTTTCTGACAAATTTGGTTAAAAAAAATATTCACACAGAGAGAGCGAGAGAGTAATACGTTAGAGAAAATACGAAGAAAACCGAGATAAACTTGAGCGTAGGCATGGTGGTTGGTGAGAGAGCATCGCAGGTTTTTGGCGGGAAAGCGCGAGCGTTCGGCGAGGAAAGGGAAGGTATATACGAGAGGCGCAGGCGCAGGCCGGTCGCGTGGCTCCGACCTGTTTTCTTAGTCTAGCCTCGCTCCGCGCCTCTTCCGCCTTCTCCCTCCCTCTTCTGGCCCTCCTCGAGAGAGCTTCTGGTTTTACGCGCGGCCATCCAGACGAAACTTTCGACCCTGCCGCCCGTCGCTGCCGCCGCCGTCGTGGCTGACCGCTATCGCTTTCCAAAATTACAAACCCATCGTTAGTCGGACCCTGTGTAGACCTTCCCTTTCTTCTCCTCTGCTCTCGTCAGCCATCCATTAGGCGCGCACGTATAGTCTCTTCGAAAGCGTAATCTCGTTCATTTTGCTCGATCGATTCGATCGTATCACGAGAGGGGGGAGAGAACAAGAGGAACACGTTTCCTCCCGGTTGCATTACTTACCACTGACGCAGATAGAAAGAGTGACGAATCATTATAAATACGGTCTAGAAAGTGTTTCCCGTAGAAAACGTTTGACTAGTGAATCACGCGGAATGAGTCACGAGTCCACCGCGTTCGACGGTGGACGAAATACCTGAAGGGTCCTCTCTGACTCATCCAAGGGCCCCAGTTTTCAACGAGCAAGACCAACTTGCGATCGGATTCTTCGAATTCCTCGGGCCGAAATCATACGGGGAGGTTATACCTGAAATTGCCCGACCAAATGCACCATGGATATCATGTCTTATCGACCATGTGCATACTTCGTTCGTGGCTTTTTCAGAGCAATTATTTCGTTACTTAGCGTACTACCTGTATTTTCCAGGAATTATTACTCTCTGTACGTACTATGCGGAGGCGAGATGGCGGTGCACCGACTGCAAGCTAAAACAGCACATTGGACGCTCCACTCAATGCATCAGAAGAAATCTTACTTTTAGGGTATCACACTCGGTCGAATTTCTTTCGTTCGCGTTCTTCTCGATACGATCGCTGTTATACTACAGTCACTTAGATTGGAGATTGAGCGAAGCTAAAACAAAACATTGGACGCTCCATCTAATGTCCTCGAAGAAATCTTACTTTTGTTGTATTCCGCGGCTCGCGATTCCTTGCGTTGGTTTATTATTTTCAATAGGTACGCGGTAGGAGAGCCTGACGGAAACTGGGACGAAATAAGGATGCTACTCTGCGCGTAGTACTATTCGACTTTATTCGACAGTTCGGTGACGTTCGGTGCGTGAAGACCACTAGACAAAAATCTGCTGTTTCGACGGAAAAGGTTTCTAGATATAGGTTCGGTAAGTACGAGAGTAGGGGTTGGTCCCAGAGGTGAATGTAGGGAGAGGCGGTGAGGTCTAGGTTCAGCGCTGAGTAAAGGATGATGTGGAGGTCTAGGTTTCGGGGTGACTAACGTTAGGATGATGCGGATTTGTTTACAGTTAAGGAAAGGAGGCAGGATGACTAAAAACTAACGAAAGATAGGAGAGAGGTATACGACACTTTTAGGGTCCTCGCTCTGTCGAATTTCTTTCGTTCGCGTTCTTCTAGATACGATCGCTGTTATACTACAGTCACTTAGAGTGGAGGTTGAGCGGAGGTAAAACAGAACATTGGACGCTCCACCTAATACCTTCGAAGAAATCTCACTTTTAGTGTCCTCACTCTAGGTATAGGTATCCTCGGTATCATATCAGAGGATACTATAGAGTGAGAATACTTAGATACCCATGGTATCTCCCTCGGTCGAATTTCTCTCGTTGACGTTCTTCTAGATACGATCGACTCACAACCAATAATAATAATGCTTGCGAATAGATGTGTCGCTGTTACACTACAGTCACTTAGATTGGAGGTTGAGAGGATGATTTTCCTGTCCTCTGTACTGTTTTAGCTATTAGTGTTCCAACATCTCATCTCCGCATAACTGCGCTGAAAAGAGACGCGAAAAAGAAGAGCGCACGGTAGAGTCTCTACAAATGAGTCTGTTACGATAACACGTTGCTGAGCTTGTCGTTGAAGTGAAAAGTCAACGGAGCGAGACACAGCGACAAACCCTTTTCCACCAGCACCTGTTAACCCACGCTTAGCCTCTACGACGATTTCAGTGTCTCTTTTTCCCACGATTAAATCAGACTCGCGAACACGCGATACCAGCCACGGGACCTTCCGAAGGTCGCGCAACACCTGTCGCTACCGTAATTTCCACTGCGTTCACCCATTTCGTTGCTGCTACCAGACTGAAGAAAGGGACATTCGACGTCGAAATTGGAAGATTCCATCCCGATTCCTTTAACTTCACGCTACGAATCGTTAGAGACCTTCTTCTTTCCCCTACCTCTAAACGTCTTGAAAAGACGGTATTTGGAATGGAACGAAGGAAGAATTCAGGTTCTTCTTCGCGCGTGTTCTTTCGGGTGAATCGAGAAGGAACTGTGACCTCCTTTTCTCGAATCGTCCGGTGGAAATTCTCTCGGTTCGATAGAAAAACTCTCGAGGTGAACGAGGGTGGAGGGATCCGGGGACGGACAAAGGTAATCTCGATCTTTGTTCAGGAAATCTCGTTTCTCGAAACATATGGACAGGTAGTAGACGTAGGTTCGCCGCGCGATACACGAGGGAAACCGAGGCACCGGGGTGGAGAGAGATATTTCGTGGCGTGGCCGAGGAGGCTAGGCGAGGAAACAGATGTTGACAGGCGAAATCCTCGACGGAATTCAAGCCGGGAGGAGAGAAACCAGAGGACGACGTTGGTCGAGGAAGCTTGGTTTCGCGCGCGCCATATGGCGGACCAGCGCGAAAAGGGTGGAGAAGGAGGAGGAGGAGAGAAAGGATCGGCGTGTCCTCGGACATGTGGCCACCTCGCCGATTTCATCGGTGGCCTGTGCGCTTGTCATTATCGAGAAACGAGCGTTCCTCGAATTAAACACTTCCCTTTTGCGGACAGAATCCAGATGAAAGGTCGTCGATAAGATTTATAGATCGTTAGATTGTCCCTCCCTAATTCCAATCGTTACTTCCAATCTCTTTCAAAAAATGGAATCGGGCAGAAAAAAAAGAAACGGGAACAATGTAAACAAGAAGTTGCCAGCGTGATGCCATTAACGCGAAATCGCACCTGCGGGCTCAGAGAAAGGGACGAGAGATCGAGTAAAAAGGGAGACAGCAAGGGCGCTCAGGTGGTTACCTGATCAAAAATAGACTGTCCACGAGATGTTTTGTCCGTCCGTGGCTTTTGTTGTGGAAATTTTCGTGCTTCTCGCGTGGTCTCGCCTCTCTCTCTCTCTCTCTCTCTCTCTCTCTCTCTCTCTCTCTTACTCTGTTAAACCGCGTCTCTAGAAGCTCTGACCCTTCTCGTTTTGCAAGAGATGTCGCAACGGGTTCCGTTGAAAAATTTCTTCCGTTCCTTCTTTTTCTTTTTGGAAAAAGAATATATATATAGACGCATACGTTAGTCGAGAAAGTGACTAGAGTTTGGTTATTGTTATGCGTCGAGCGCCGCGCGTATCGTACAGTAAATTTTAATTGACCACAAAATGTGCATACTAATCTAAAACTTGGCCTGTTTCGTTTGTTGCAGATTACTGGCGAGCTCGGAAGGTATGCGAGGTGAATAAGAAGCCCCTTGCATCATCGGTGGACGCGGCGAAGCAGCAGAGCGACGCGACGAAAGCGTCGAAAACGATGAAATCATCGAAGAAGGCGGCGCAGAATTGAAGGAGATGAAGAAACGCGTATTTAATTGCGTACTCCCCCTCCCCCGAATCGTATATATGATCCCTGTATATTTATTCGTCGTTCTTCCGCGATACACGTCGACGTGTTTGTACATTTCGCTCGATCGTCGACGTTCTTCCACGATTTAAGCGTTAATTACCAATCGTTAATTATATATCGTAACGTTTACTGTAAATACTGCGTCACAGGTGATAATATTTGTACGTATACGGAGGTTTGGACGAGCTCACTTCTCTCGTTTCGCTTTCTTCGCGACGTGACAACGTAGCCCAACCGCGAGAGTAGGATAGTTTTGACCGCGACGAGACAAGTCTTTCGCCGTGGCCAAAGCGTGACGCGGTTGACGCCGATAGGTTGTTTAAATTGAGACATCGTAGAAGTGAGCCGTCGAGAGCCTGAATCGGTTGATTCTTCCACGAATCAACACAATGCAGCGCCTCCAAAGAATAACTGATTACGAAAGTGAAACTCCACGTTGTTTAATCTCGTCCGCCGAGATATCGGAGAAAGTCCTATGTATATCTGAGCCACTTAGGATTATAGAAAACTCTAGTCATCTAGTTATTTAAGCGAAATCAAACAATAAACGGCCGTGCTTTCATACATACACGATTGTACTTTCATTCAATCCCCCTCCCTTCTAAATGTACGTTTAAACCGTCTAAATCGTAGAAAAATCATGTAAAACTCGTCGAATATTAGCAATTACCTAGGTAATTCTTTGATCGTTGCACATGTGCTGGTGGAATGGTCGAAAATTAGGCAGCTGAGAGATACGAGTGCTATTTTGTAACGGACGTTTTGTAACATCCACCTGGATTCGAACCATGGTGGTCTAAAAGGCACGTGTGTGGGGTAAACTAGAGGGTGAGTCATAATAACCGCATCGACCATCGCTAAATTAAATTAAAAGTTCCAATATGTATCGTACCACAAACTTGCACGTCGAAAGCACGAACTGTATCTAACTGAAAAAATTGTCCTGCATAGAGAAAAGAAATCTGATAATGACCGTTTCGTACGTGCTTTTGGCACACCCTGTGTACACGCGTGTTCGAGCATTTACTTATCTCTGACGTGGTACGAGCTTGGGGGTGGCTGAACGTAATATACACACATATACACGTAACGATATATACATAAATATGTACATATACGGTTAATTATAATGCGTGATGCACCGCAGGGTCTTCCACCATGGGGGAACAGTACGAAGGGAAGCAGCTGGTTCATGGTTTTAATGGCTGTCATCCTAGCTGGTCATTTCGATAATGGTAACTAATACATCCAGTTCCTGGCCACTGTGCAATCCTGTTTAAAATCGAACGCAATCTCGTTCGAAACATTCCATTTCCAACAGCTTCGTGTTAACCCTTTGCGATTCTGCGAACTCGACGTAAGAATTTTTGCCTTCGGATAGATATATAACGATGATAAACCAATTTTTCATGCATTGATATTACACTGAAACGTAGTATTTTATGGTTAACCCCTATCGGACGTTAGCATTTTGTACTTTACCTGCCACTAGGTCGGAGTTTTATTTCAGCTTTTATTATAAAGGAAGGTTAACTAAAATTACTTGATTCAAACAGAAATTTTTGTGTATATAAGTATTTATATTTACACTTTAGGTAAACTGTAAAATTATGCCACCTCCCACGTGACATACGACCGATAAGGGTTAATAAAGGGAAACTACGTGGACTCTCTCAGAGTGACCAAATGAGTAAGGACTATTTGGACCGCAAAGGGTCACCTGTGACAGTAGATCTTTTCCTCGATGGTCATCGATGACCAGAGTGCCTCGAATGTTTAGAATAATTAATTTCTTAGCTACAGAACGCCGCTATAGTGGCTTTCGCGTGTAAATAAATTACAATTTATTCACCTATAGCTCTATTTCCGATGTGTAAATTTTATAGTGGAAAGCATCACCAGACACACAAATCGCAGCGTTACGTTATTTACGCGCTTTCCGTGTCAAACCGTACAGAGATGCAGCGCCGCGGAAAGTCCAGGCGTAGCAAAATAAAATGAATATCGTCAACTAAAAAATTTTCAATATCGCAGCTGATTAGATATTTTGAATTTAGAAAAAAAAAAATTTCTAATTAGAATAATGAAAATTCTGTTGTGAAACCCTGAGAGCAGCGTGTATTTAAATTGAAAATTCTGTTGTGAAACCCTGAGAGCAGCGTGTATTTAAATTTGGCGTGGCAGTCAAGGCGTTAATTTCACTGCTATTGGCGCCTATAGGCGCTTTGAAAATTTGTTCGCATTATGCTATGACTTTTGGCCCACTTCTATATTAAGCTAAGGCTTGATTTTATCCTCTGCACGCTTCCACGTTAATTCGACGAAACAAATATTAAAAAATGATACGGCCAAAAGGAAAAGTTTGCAACCGTTATGGAACAAGTAACTAAAATGAATGTCCTCAACTAAAAAATTTTCAATATCGCAGCTAACTAGACATTATTCTGAATTAAAGAAAAAAAGGTAATAATATTATGCTTGGAATAATGAAAATTTTCTTGTGGCCCCCCTGAGAGCAATATGTACCTAAATTTGGCGCGGCAGTGAAGGTGTTAATTAACCCTTTCATTGCTATTGGCGTCTACAGGCGTTTTGAAAATTTACTCGCACTATACTGTTAGAGCCTTTCGATACGCTTGCACCTTAATTTAACACTTAACTCTTTGCGGTCGAACTTTCCGTAGGCATGGCAGTCTTACTGGTCGGAATTATACTTTTTATAAATAAAAAAAATCGCAGTAATTATTACTAAAAAAACGTACAGATTTTATTCAAACGAGTTTCTTCAAGCTGCGTGCATATTATCTTTTTCCCCTGTTTCTGCAAGCAAAGTGGCCACACAGAGTTCGAGAACGAGACAATTATACTCTTCACCGCACTTCCGTCGTAACTGACCAAACCGAATTTCAAAACGACAACACGGCCGAGATAAGAAATTTCGCAGCCGTGGTTAAAAATTCACCGTCCCTCGTTAAAATCCTAAGACAGGGTCGAAACGACAAAGGAACGTCACATCGAACGAGACGATTTTAACGAATCTTTACGTTAAGAAGAACTGCACAAGCAGCCGCGCACCTCTCGAATCCTGCCACGCAGCTTTCGAGTATAATTGGAAACCTAAAACAGGACGTGACCTCATCGCGTTATTGTATCCAAGATCGTTAAGGACCTGGTCGTTGCGATATCCAATTACTCGAGAGAGCGAAAGAAAGAGAGGAGTCGGAGAAGTGTAAAGCAAAAAGAACGTTACAGCGTAGTCGGGGTAAATTATAGGAGAAAAGAAGGAGGAGAAGAAGAAGAAGAAGAAGAAGAAGAACGTGGACGTAGATCATATTTTCGTGTTTCAGGATTCTCTGGCCGTTGGCTACGAAATCCAGGTGCGCCACCTTGTCGCTTAATGAACGTTTATCGTTGGTACACGTGTAACTCGCTGCCCCGTAACGCAGGCTTAATTGATTGAATTAGTCGCGGAGCGGGTATACGCCGAAATTACACCTGACCCCAGCGAACTTCCGACCGATCGATTTTGATCGATCGCCGGTTCGTGGCCCGATCGATCAAAAACCTCTTCTCTTTAACGAGAACCGGGGTTAATCGATCACGTTTTTTATGCACCGTCGGGTTCATTAACGATCATTCGATGTACAGCCTCTACCGATTTTTATTCCCTCTCTTTCTCCGGTGCCCTGCACGATCGAGCGTTTCCTCTGTTCCCCACGAAAACCTAGGAATATCACTTTTCGACGCTGATTAAACGTTCTTTCACTTCGTTTTTTTTAAATTTAATCGTGTACACGGGGTGGTTTGTATTCCTGGTAAATCAAAGTTCCGGTACGTTCTCCGAGCCGTTACGTCGAAAGAAAGGACGTCTGATCCTGAGAACCTGCGTGCGATGATAAATCGTATCGAGCGGCGAGGGAAGACGAGTTCCTTCAGATCGCCTCGAATAAAAATTTCCTATCGTACCGTGGCTGTTTGACCAACAGAAAATTCAACGGACAAATACGGGCCAGCTACCGAGAGAAGTTAGGGGAGAGGAGGGAGGGTAACAGAATCGGGGTAATAAATTACGATCATTCCGGTGAATCGAAGAATGGTAAATGAGGAGGGTAATGCCCGATCGAGAGCCACCGAAACGATGCCCACAATGGCCTAACGAACTTGCCGAGTGGCATTTCGCTTTCCAACGGTGGCACGCGCCTCTCTTTTTCTCTTTTTCCCTGTCTACGAGGCCCCATTCGCCTCTGTATATTAACTAATACCCTGTAAACACGCGTGTTCAGAGGGGAGTAACAGACTGCTCTAATTAAAGGACATTCACTATCGAGCGGACCGAACTTTCGACCCTTTTTCGCGGAAACTGGTCGGGATGACCGTTTCAACACGCGAGGATCGTTTGCCATTTTTCTCTGTCACCCCTTCTTCCTTTTCTCTCTCTCTCTGCACGATCTTCGTCCATTAGTTATTCCGGACTGGTAACGTGATTTCGAACGGTCGCTGTCCGTTGGCGTAAACACGTGGTCGCGCTATTTACGATTACTCCTAGGTGAAGAATGGCGAGGAATCGAACGGTTCGAGGATGTTTAAGAGAGGGAGAAAGAAGGAGAAGTCGGAGAGACGTGGATGTTGAACTGGGTCGGATGCGCGTGCAAGAAAGTGCACGTGTCGATGCTTGGAAAGGAAGTGGAAATTACGCGGGGGGAAAAAAAAGGAACGTCCCGAGTGAAGAAGAAGAAAAAGGACGAGGTTGGCTGTACGGCGACGGTCCCACATGGTGGATCGAGCGAAACTGCGGTGCTCATTAACGATTGACAGTAATTCTGTCGACACACTCGATGCAACGAGAACGTTCGAACGTCGCCATAAATCGGTCGATTGGCCAAGAAGAGTGTTCGAACGCCACTTGAGAATTGCACGAGTAAATACTGCTGCGTCGAAGAAACTGCATACAGGGTGAGCTGGGTAAAATAGGTCGGA